ATGGTTATAAATAAGGAGCTTGGAAGCAACTCCAATACAGAAGTCCAGAGCATTACACCAAGACGGAAGGAGGAATCCTGTTGCGGGGCGCTGGAACACTGAGGAACCAAGTCAACATCACACCAATGGAGGCTTGGGGTTCTCTTTTCTTTATTATTGTTTTTCAATTCAGTATGCTAGAGTAGTCTTTTATGTAGTTAAGGGTAGATGGAACCCAATTGAATCGTTATGTTTATGAATTAAATTGTCTCCGAATTCTGTTCTTTTTATATTTGAAAAAATTTATCTGTCTTTATTGCTTTCTATGAGTTTGTTCCTTATAGAATGATTTTGGGGAATTGTATGACAATAGGGATGTTGGTGCATGAACCCTGACTTGATAATTTGTCACAATCCTTGTGATCTAGGAATAGGCATAGGTTAATTATGCAATCTTGAAATTCTTGATCTTAATGCATGTTTTCTTGGGGAATAATCGGGGAACTAGAGTTCTTTCAAGATTACATAGATTTATGGTAATAAGGAATTGAGCCGACTTTATTACTTTCACGATCGGTGCACTTGCCGAGTCGCTATCAACCACCCTTGAATATTAGGTACCCTTGATGATAGATAACACACTTTTTATAAAGTGGGATAGGTTGAATAAATAAATGAGATGTCGTCGAATTTTCTAGAAATGGCAGATTTTAGGAGAGCATATCTCCCTCCACAGGCATCCAATAGGGAAGTTCCATACATAATTTTGAAGCTTATAGTGACAACTATGTTGTGTCAAAATTTTATAGCCATTGGAGTTGTACGCAGACTTGTAGAGGCAGAAGAGTGAGGACTGTTCTGAAGTGCCCTGCACATGGGGCTGTCGGGTGCCATTTTTGGGAAAATTATTCCTGCCTCAATTCTTGGTCAATTAGGCATATGATATGTAAAATTGAAGCTTGAGGTGTCTAGTTTACTGTATAAAAATTTGAGAGTAATTGGTGTTGTAGTTTGTTCAGAATCGTTGAAAGAATACAAGTTGTTTGGAGCCCTGTTTGAGGTTGGCTGGCAGCTTTGCTTGTCCAACTTCAAACGATGATAACCGGAGCAAACGAGAACTTTATGGAGCGTGTGATTGTTTCTTGGAAAGATAATTAGTCTAGAATAACATACTAAAAGATGGGAGGTTCGTAGCATGTGGATCTCTCACAATATCCAGATTACTGAACCATGTTCAGTTATGTAAAAATCGTAAAAGTGAGATTTATGCTAAGTTGGTTTATGGGAATCCCTTAGTGACTTGAGAGAAGTATTATATGATAGTTAAACATTTGTTTCAAATTTTTTCGCTTTTAGTTTTCAGTTATGGTCACAGCTTTTATTCATTACGCTTTATTATTGTTTTAAATGCTCGCGTAATGAAAAGGAAAAAGTTTACTCGCATTTTCATAAATGAACTGTTGTGATTGTAACTGCGCTTAATATCATAATCAATGTTAACAATATCGGTGTACAATGGGCTGTTACAATGTGCATAGTATGTTTTTATAATTGATTTTATGCACTGTTGTATATTTGAGACATTTGAAAATGATTTGAGGCATAATGTGTTGATATATATGTGGATGTGTTAGTTACCTACATGTGCAGGCGGCATCCCTGGGTGTAGGGCATAAGGTGGCATCCCTTATGTTTTTAGTATGCTGCAGACGTGTGTAAATCATACTTGTCTCTGGCCCATAGATATTGTTATTGCTCACATGCCATGATATATATATCCAGCATTATGCATTTTAGTATTCTGTTGAACTTATTATACCTATAAGTGAGCTTGGAGTGGAGGAATCCTTGAGAACCCCTTGTTTTATTGAGATTTGTCAAAATCTCATCCCGTGTGGGGAACATTTTTCAAGTACAGATATCCATGAGACAGATACGTCTAGGGGCAAAATGTTAGGAATGTGACTTTCATACTTAAGAGGGGGTGACTTGAGTATTACAAGATTTTCGCAAAAGCCCCCTTCTAGTTTCTAAATAATCATTTCAAGCAAACTTTGATATATGAAAAGCTAATCAATATATTCAAACAATCTATAATATATAATATATCAAAATTATAGAACTTATTCTAGCACATACAAGATATCAAAGAAGCAATTAAAGTGCTAGAAATAAAGAGTTTAGAGTTTAGAGAATTGCAAACACAATATATCATGGTTCGGTCATCACCACTTATGACCTACGTCCAGACTGAAGCCGCTCGAACAACTCTTTCACTAATGGTCAAGCTTCATGGGTGCTTGACAAACCTTTACAATCTTCCAAGACTTCGGGTTCTTGGATACCTTACAATCTCCAAGTTTACGGGTACTTGGCATTCTTACAATTCACTCTAAATTTACTTAGGTATTTGGCTACCTCTCAAACAATGGGTATCACAACCCTTTCAACTCAAGAATATAAGGAGGGAAATATTTGGAAATTAATATACACTCTCAAAGTGTGGATATACAACTTGAAGCACTATGAGTATATGGATTTTCAGGAGCTTTGGTCAAGAAGCCACTTAGTGTGGATACGAGCATATGGAGTATTTTGATATATACATAGGAGTGTATAAGGATTAATTGGTATTTTGAGATATTATATTGATGCACGTAATAGTTGCTTGTTTTGTATCATTGACTTAGTGCATGAACATTGGTCTTGTATATGATGTTGTGGACATGCTTCGGGTTGTTCATGCTTTTGTGTCTAAGTAATTAGATTATTATGTTGATTATTTAATAGTTGTATTTATCTAGTTGTAATATCTCTAATTGTATCATTGAAGGATCTTGTATATGTAAATATTGATGTATGTGATGGAATGACTTTATGCCTTTTTAAGATATTGATGATGTATAATTATAATGGATGATAAATGAGACATTGTGTATGACAGGGTAATAAGAGGAATTGATAATGTGAGATGGAATTGTAAATTGAGTAAAGAGACATAATTTGAATTGATGGATGTTATGGTTGTAAGTGCATCAAGGAATGTTGATCCTTTGGATGTCACCTTTTGGTCAATTAGGTACTCTTTTGATAAATGGAACATGCTTGAATAAAGTGGAGAAAAGTTGTAAAAACAAAGGAGACCATGCAAATTTTTTTAGAAAAATAATGTATTTTACCCTAACTTTGAGAGATCATATCTATCTCCACAGTGGTCCAATAGAAGCGTACCATACCTTATTTTAAATCTTAGGATGTCCTCTATATTGTCATAAAATTTGTTATCATTTGCAATTGTAGAAATTGTCCAGTTTTTGATTGAAGGCAGACTATCTTGTTCTATGCTAGATGATATAGCTTCTGTATACATTTTTAAAAAATTCATATCTCTCTCATTTCTTATCCAAATTAGGCTTATGATACATAAAATTAAAGATTATGGTGTCTGCTAGAAAATATAAATTTTGGGAGAAAAAACATGAGTGGAACGACTGCAGTTTCAGAAACAGTGAGGGATGTTAGTGAACCTGATAGTGCAGTATTGATAGTTTTAAGAAATTAACTTACGGCTGGCGTATCTGGAGCCATAGAACTCAAATTGATGCGTGTGATACCTCATTGGAAAGCTAGAAGAGTCTATTTTAACATATCAAAAGATATCAATTTATGAACATGTAGTATATATGCATTTTTGGTAAAAATGAGTGTACCTCAAGTTGGTAAAACATCAAATTATGTATTTTAGCTTTGTTGGTTTAAGGGAACCACATAGAACATTTGAATAGACGTTGTATGATGTTAAGCAATAGTATTTATGATTCCACAATAATTTGAGTTGCGATCATAGTTTGCAAATTGTTAATACAGACATTTTTAAAGTGCGAAAATAATTGTGAACGACAACAAAAAGAAAAAAGAAAGTTTTTCCCATATTTTTAAACGAACTGTTGTGATTGTAATTGTGCTTAATATCATAATCAATTATAACATTACTGGATGCATACGGGGTTTTACACACATCCGATATCCAATACCCATGAAGCTGAATCTACACTTGAAAAATTAATTTCTTTAGTGAACACACTGAGGTAGAAGCATCACCATGTTTTTTTCCCTTGAGGCTGGCAAGGTACAATGTACAGTTCCTCCTCCATTGTCCTTCGTTCTAACAATGGAAGCATACAGCAATAGCAGAGTCCTTAGCCTCCTCCTTTCTCTTGACCTTGCCCTTCTTCTTCTTAGGCTTGGTCTTGAACTTGAGATTCTGTTTGAATTGATTTTGGTTATATACTTGTTAAAAATTTGATTTTTGAATTGTTTCTTGAATTTCAAGTAACACACATTCACCCCCTCTTGTGAGATTGTTTAGCCATCTTTTCTTTTCATCCTAATTTTTATCTATGCTAATAAATAAGTATGAAAGATTATATCATGAATTATTTATTTAACAATCATCTAAAAAATTATATATATTTATGAAAAATTAAAAACATATTATCTTAAAAATTTAAGTTAAATTTCTTCATTAAAATAAATCTTTATGTTTGTATAAGAGATAAATTTATCATTCTTATAACAAAAGAAATAATAAACTCTATATTATATAATACAATAGGTCAACGTATCAAATTTAAAATATTATTTTAATATTTTTCATTAAATAAATTTTTAAAATTGTCTTAATCAGTTAGGTCAAGTTATACCAACTAATGACACTGCAAAGTAATTAAAATTGAGATTTTACCTAAAAATAAAAGAGGATAAAAAAAGTACAATATAAAATTACAATAAAAAAAATAAAAATGCTTAGAATATTAGTAAAACTATCTTAATGGGAAAAAAAAGGGGTAAAAACATAAAAACGCAGTTTTAAATCGCGTTTTTTGATTGCCATGCACCTATGTAATGAAGTCTTAAAGTAAAGGTCAGAAATGTACACACAATAATTCCATGGCACATGCGTAAATACCACCTAGTTCGGTGAAATCCAACCAACTGTTATGTTTGTTATTTTCGTTCTTCTTCTTCTTCGATTCCTTCCTCATATTTGGGAGAGTAACGTTGGTTTCACCACTACTTCTCCGATCACTCCCCGGTATGCTTTTCCGTTAGCCTCTCTCACCACTTCACATGCATGAAATGTCGCTTTTATTAAATTGCTCATTATTTTCTGAGATTCGATTTACATATATATATATATATGTATTGGAGGGACGAAAATATACAAAAGTTTATGTTTTTTTTATTTAATGAAATCAACATTTAAGTAATTGGGTTTGTTATTTGTATTGGATCTGATTGATTGGAATTTGGGACAGGTGGGGTTGAGAAATTGGGAACGATGAGTGGGGTATTTGAAGGGTACGAGCGTCAATACTGTGAGCTATCGGCGAATCTTTCTCGCCAATGCACTGCAGCTTCTGCCCTTGATGGAGGTAATGGAATCTCTTTTTTACACTTGCTTTCAACAGTTATCGAATATTGGTTTGCATTGTGAATGTAATGAATGATCAAGTGTATCAGACTTAAAATAAGGATGACAAGATATTATATCACTAGTCATCTTTTCTCATTTAATGACTTGCCCGTTACCATTATGTGCTGCAGAACAGAAGAAGCAGAAACTTTCTGAAATAAAAGCTGGATTAGATGATGCTGATGTATTGGTATAATAGGACTTCTCTTCTCCTCCTCCTGCTCCTGATGTTTGACTCTATTATAATTCCTGCTTGAATATTTTCAGATTCGGAAAATGGACCTTGAGGCTAGGAGTTTGCAGCCAAGTATCAAGGCAAATCTTCTTACCAAGTTAAGGGAATATAAAACTGATTTGAACAATTTGAAAAATGAAGTTAAGGTGATCACGTCAGCTAATGTCAACCTCACTGCTCGAGATGAGTTGTTGGAGTCAGGAAGGGCTGATACACTGGCGGTATCTCTCTTATCCATCCTTCCTCAGATATTAATAGGTGTCAACGTTATTGTCTTTGAACCGTGAGCTTAGATTACTAATACGCATGTAAGAAGATGAAGAAGATACTAGTTGGGTGATCTGAGATCAGGATTGGCTGGTAACTTTTATTGTTCTAAAGGCCTTTTGTTGTGAAACTTGCGAATTGGTCTCAAGCCAAAGTATGCCAATATATACATTCATAAAAACATATAAATGGACTGAGTCTCATGTCAAAGTATGCCAATATACATTCATAAAAGGAAAAAACTACTCTTATGTTACATGTGGTAAATTTCTCTCCTACACAGCCTTCGATAACTGTGCCACCTTTTTCTTTTCTTTTTATTTTTCAGGTGGTGGAGCCCACAAGTTTATCTCTATGACATGAGATAACTTATCTCCTTTAACATGAGATTAATAAAACCCTTCGTAAAAACATATAAATGGACCGAACTCGGTTATGTTTTTTTATGGGGTGGGGAGCGAGAGACATTGCATGATATAGATATTTTGAATCTCAACTTTGTTTTTAGACATTAGCAATATCGCTTCCATTGCATCTCAATACTATGCTGCTTATGTACGGCAAATGGATACATGTGAATATTTTAGCCTCTTTATATTAATTATGCATTCTCATCACTACTTGTGGGATGCTAGGACAGGTATCAAATGATCAAAAGGGAAGACTTTTGATGTCTACTGAGAGATTAAATCAATCAACTGATAGAATAAAGGAGAGCAGAAGAACAATGCTGGAGACAGAGGAGCTTGGTGTCTCTATCCTCCAAGACTTGCAGCAACAAAGACAATCTCTACTCCATGCCCATAAGACAGTAAGTTTTACCACTTACCAGTTCCTATTTCCACTTAATAATTTATTGGCCCTCTTTAATCCAGATGATTTAGCATTTGATACACAAGTAATCTTCTCAACTAGAGATGCACTACTAATAAGAACTTCACTATTTAAAATGCATTTTCCTATGTGAAATCAATCTGACCTCAGGCTTGTTAGATCTGGTTTTTCCAATACCTTAGTCCAATTAGGCTGTCAAGGCTGAAATGCTATATTTTTTTCCCATACAGATCCATGGAGTGGATGATAACATTAATAAGAGCAAGAAGATTTTGACGGCCATGTCAAGAAGGATGAGCAGGAACAAATGGATTGTTGGCTCCGTGACTACAGCTCTGGTCCTTGCAATTATATTAATTCTATATTTTAAGCTGACTCATTAGCCTGCTCTCTTTTTTTATGGCTTAATTACATCTCAGATTGGGGTGTTTGCTGCCGAACAATGTGACTATGTTTGAAGAGTTGTGAGCGCAATAGTTCTCTCACCTATTTCCCTTAATACTAATCCCAAATTCAATTGTTAAAAGTTGGTAGAGATGCAATGGGCACATGTAGCCCAAGACTCTGTAGGCTGTAGTTGTTTTTGTTTTTCTCCTTTTGTTGTTTTGTTTTCCTTTGTACTCCAAAAAAAAGAAAGAGATGATTGACTTAAATAGGGAACATTTGTTGCCTGCATTAGCATCTTCGGCAGAATCTGATGTTTCGATTCAATTTTTTTGGAAACTCACATTTATTAGTATATAATCCCTACTTCGAAACTCCGAATATTCACCTTTTTCCTCGTCAGTAGACACACAGAACAAACTGATTTGGTTAATCGTGATTTGGTTAATCGTTGCTCTCACAGTTGAAAACTAATAGTATTTGCATTTTTTTTAAGTACAAATAGTATTTGCATTTAGATCACTGTAAATTAGTATTTGGACAAATATTAATAATAATAATTAAAGCCCAGAGTCCAGCTACTTTTAAGCTTTAGTTTAAGAGCTTATTTGGTATGTATTTTTTAAGTTCAAAATTTCTTTTAAGTTAAAATTAAAAACAAGTTTAAAATTATTCAATGATTATATAAAATTTTAAGGAAAAAATATTTATCCTTTTAAAAGACAGTTATTTTAATTAAAACTACTATTTTTTATTTAACATGTATATTAAAAAAAAAATCATTAACTTTCTCCAACCATGATTTATTTTGTGTAACTGTTTCTCTTATCATAAAATAATAATTTTAACTAAAATAACACAATTCTATATCCTTTAAAAAATAAATATTAATCCCAAATTTTAAACTTAAAAGTTATTTTAAAGATCAAGTTAAAAACAAATTATTTGATAAAATAATTTAAAAAAAAATTGAAAAAAAAACTGATAAGCTTTAAATTTTTTTTATGATAAATTTTTTTACAAAAATACGTTTGACTAAAATTCACCTTATCTTGATTACGAAGAAAAAAAAGTTCACCTTATCTTAAAGCGAAGCTAAAAACCAGACTCGCCAAAGGCTACTAAACATTCTAAATTAGCTTAACAACACAACAATTTGTACAAAAAAAACATTTGGGAGTGGAAAGGCTTTGGATAGTTGTGAAATTTTGTTCGAAAGTAAAATTTTAGACTAATAACTCACTTCTGATGACAATTTTAAGGTGGCTTGACATTTCTCCATAAAAATAGGCAAGCATAACCTGCTTCCAACAGTTTCAATAAAACAAGCATGATAATTCCAACCGCATTGGACATAACCAGCAGGTGGGTATACCACCTTCTGAAAGAGCTCTATATATAGGAGTATAGGACACATCATTTGAGGAAGTGGTATTCAAAAAATGACACAGCAAGAGTTTGTTTTTAACTATAAATGATGTGGTAGCACATTGGATCAGCAACCCTGACAAATAAGAACACATGCTAATCAATTAACGCTGAGATATCAACTTTTCATTAAAGCAAGGAACAGAGGTAGATCCTTGACAGGACATGTTAGTGCAGGAAGGAACAGATTGGCCCTTCATCCTTTTGGTGAACATAGCATTTTGACATACTCAGGCATCCTCAGGAGAAAAATCTCTTGCTCCCTGATCATCTTCATCCTCTTCATCATCTTCATCATAATCCATGGAAGCAGGTTGTCCATTAAGATCCACATTAGCACCAATCAACTTCCTGACAAACTGTCCCCGCACACGAGGCCGCCTTTCAGCAAGTTGTTTCCGATTGACATACCTAATTTTCTTATCGAAGCAGCGCTCTTTCCTTTTCTGTCTGAACTTCATCAATGCTGCTTCTCTCCGATCAACTTTACCTAATTTTGCTTCGGATGACCTTGAACTTCCAAATGATGGCCATGAATGAGGTGTAGGAATCTGACCAGGTTGTAAGCATACACTCATTGGGTAATATGGGAAGGGTGTCATCCCCGTTGCATGAGGACCACCTTGGGGAAGATGATTGTACTGTGCAATCATAGCTGAACTAGCATGACTCTGCAGGTCCTGGATATTCTTTTGATACACTTGTGCTGATGAAGGCATCATAACATGATTAACAACTCCTGAAATATAATATGGATAAGCATGTTGGGCAGCCATGCCAGATACTTCAAGCTCAGAACAATAAGTCCCATTTCTTGGATGCATCACACCCTGATGTAAATTTTCTTCCTTGTAATGCTTTTGCTGTGAAATTTCCACTGATGCAGGTGGAGTACAAGACCTCTCAATAGAGAAAGAATCAGGAATACTATTGCTGCTCGGTAAGTCTTCTTGCGATTGACTTTCACATGTCTCTCCATTTCCACGTATTTGAAGGTCATTAACCCCTTGTTGAGCACATGCTTGATGAATATCATTCATCCTCACACGTGTAGCAGCATTGTTGTCAACACAAACAATTTCTTCAAAATTACTCTTCAGCATTGATGCTTTAACATATGTGAAGAAGGCTGATGACTCCCCAATCCTTAGTTCAGTCTTCTTTGGACCAGATGAAAAAAGTCCTACAAGATTAAGGAAAAATCAGAAAAATAATAGAACTGAAACAGGGTATTCACAATTAAAACTTTATTCAATTTCAGGAACTCAAAAATCCCATTCATGTTGAAGACATTTTCAGAATTGAAAACTAGGGAGCTATAGAAGGCAAGCTACCATAAGTAATTCTGTTACATGAACAAAGAATACTTTTACAGACCAAAATTGGCTAAAAGAAGGTAAGAAAAGGATGGAAAACCAATATTTATCATCACGTGTCATTTTATTGTATTCAAACCAAGCTATTCTTACAAATAAGAACTAGTTGGGCATTACACTGCATAACTTCAATGTTAATGCCAAAAATTATTATATAATTTCTGATTTAGAAAAACAAAGTCAAACGAAAAAGAGGAGCCCACCTGTTCTGTGGTCATTAATTCCATGCACATCAGGCCGATATTCTAATGCACGAGCATCTGGAAGTTCCTTAACAGCAGGGGCAATGGCAATAGCAGACTGAAACAGTAAATTATATAGATAAATAACCACATACTACATCATCTCTGATTTGTAGCTATCAGCAACTATATAATGTCTGCTACCGGTAGCTGGCTGAAAAAGGCATTGGAGTACTGCTACTCTACACCCATTTAGACACACAAAAAACTTTACATAGTTACATCCCTTTCTGCACTACAGGGTTACCTCTGGATCTGTTGAGGGGACTCACCACCACTTTTCTACACATCCACATGTAATCCAACGGCTCTATACACAGTTGTGATTCTTTTATTTGCTTTTTCAGGGAACATAGTTGCCACTTTTTATATCATCAATTTATGTGAATGTAACATTTTTCAAAGTATTACTTCATTAACTTCTTGATTTGTTCATGGTCTCCATATCCATGCTGTTTAAAATGAGTTTAGGGTATTAATTTGTTTATGACTTGAGTCTGAATCATAGCTTAAGTTCTTTTAAAAATGGTCATTTGCATTTATTCAGAATCACGAATTTTTAATACCTATAAATTCTAGGGGTTCATAATTCAATTTCTAGAGCAGCATTGAACTTGAAGTCTCTTTTACATTGAAAGGCAATATGAAAACTTAAAGTATGTCAATCTCAACGTTCACATTCTGTGCAAAGTAAGCCCAAAGTTGAATAATAAAATTATCTCCTCAAGGATTAAGGGCCTGTTTGTTTGTGCTTAAGGAAAAAGTATTTTTTTGAAATAGAAAATGTCTAATTTTTTTTAAAATAATTAGTAAGTCATTTTTTTTAAATGAAAACTGAAACTCAGGAAAAAGCAGTTTTAGTGCATTTTTCATAAGCTGGAAAGAATAGCTTCTGCAAAAAAAGAGCTATCAAAATGATATATCATAAAAGCAGTTTCTTTAAAAGCATCCAAATGCACCCTAATTAAATTTAAAGTTTTGCAATGGTGCACAAGCTCAGTGATTGTGATCATCTTGATCCCATTGCATACTTACATTCTTACATTATTTAAATAATGCTTTTTTAAATTCACCTCTTGCTCTTGTTGGACTGAGAAGCGTGTCTCTGGATTGGTGCTTCTCTTGGACTTGTCATCTGTGTCATCGGAGAACAAGGTGGTACTGTTTGTATTGGCATCACTAGGGTCTGATGCTACCAGATCAAAATCATAATTCAAGATGTTCTTCTCTACAAGTCCAAGCTGCCAGCATAGATATAAAAAATTCAAATTGGGAAGGTCTAAGCATTAATTGGAAGATCCAGAGAAAAGTGTCATGTGAATGTGCATATGCAAAGAGCAAAATCAAGCTAGAGTAAAGAGGAGGGGCCACCCTAATATTCTATATTCCATTATATCGTATGCTTGATCCATGTAAAGTGTTTGCATATGAAACCCTGATAAATCAAGGTCGACTATTTCTTTCCAAAATCCACATTCTTACCATCTGACAAAGTCATGAAACATAATTTCATACGAAATGAAACTATTAACTATAACTGATTTCTGTTTGATCACTTGATGGTAACAGACATAAAGTCGATACTTTCTTGAACATTTTAATTAAATCTAAACCTTAGTATCTAATGTCTGTTTGATCACTTAACGGTAACAGACATAAAGTTGATACTTTCTTGAACATTTTAATTAAATCTAAAACTTAGTATCTAAGTGTTTGCCTTCGCCCCTACACTGCTGCAGAGATGAGGTAGCCTGATATTTGGAATGCAATGTGCCTCCCAATCCTATAGCTTCATACAATATTAGTGGAATGGTTTTGTTATCAAAATATAATGTATGAATCGACTGACCCAATCAGAAACCCAGAAAACTGTTGGTAGATTAGTCAGATCAACCTAAAAACTTACAAAAGAAACTTTAAAAATGCTAAATATATATTTTACTCATTTAAGTATATAAAAAAAATTATGTATAAAATATCATGCATTTAACTAAAGAGCATTCATGTGTCAATCAAACTCTGGCTCACATGAGGTTTAAATCCTCACAATCTGATTTTCTAAATATAATGTTTGTAATGGTGAAAGCTGACTGCTGGAAACAGAGGTGCACCTCCAGATAATTAGGTACTCAGCACCCATTTCATATTGCCCAAAGTTTACATACAGTAGGCAGAAAACGAATAATTAGGATGAATGAACATAAAATGGGGAACATCCATATATATGAAGTTGGGCAATACAAACCATGTGCCTCCTTCTCCACATGTGCGTCCACAAATTTAATAGTTCATTAGTGCGTAAAGGCTTTACTAGATAGTCTGCTGCTCCAAGTCTCAAGCACTTAACAACAACGGATATCTCATCTTGTGCGGACATCACTTATCAAAACAAGATATTCAAAACATTGATGAGGAGCAGAAAATAATTTGCTTAAATTCAAGAGTCTTACTAGTTTCTTAGCAAAATAAAAAACACCAAAGCTTACTTATAACAGGAATTCTGCGTAATTCTTTGTCCCGTGTTATGTACTTCAACATCTTCATGCCCTTCTTCATCGGAAGGTCAACTTCAGCTAGTATGATATCGATATACTGCCCCTCTGCATTCAGTGCATCAATTACCTGTCTTGCTGACCTTACTGAAGTAACTGCGAAACATAGAAAAACCAGAGGTTTACATATGATCACAGGGAGAATGCCAAAAATTGCATAACCTTTAAATCAGACAAGCCAAACTGCATCACACAGTAGGAATCACAAAAGCATTCACTAAAATCTCCACTTGGAAGGTATTTTCACTTAGAAGAAAAACTTCTCCATGCATAAAGGTCATTTAAAAAAACAACTTGGACCCCAAAACCAAAACACCTGACGACAATCTAGAATGCTTATGTATCTAAAAGTTGCACCAAGCAACTACCCCCTTCAAGGTCTTAATTAAGGCTAGCTTATTGCAACCAATTATTTCTCTTGACCTTATTTTCGACAAGAATTGGCCACAAAGGTGAAAAAGCAAAAAGTGATAGTTCCGATCATTCATTGAAATCAAATATTAGCATAGAGAATATAAATTGAGTTTCAAAAGAAATGATTTTTAACCAGAGATCCCCAGTTACCTTTTTCTATCAACAAAATCGAATTAGATATTTTACCCAAGCATGGGCAAAAAAAAAAATGACATAATATAAGCACGGCAAAGATTATGCACATAAATCAAAGAAACACGTCCAAGTGAAGTGCAAGTTGAAAAAGGGGTGAACAAAAAAAAAGAGGTTTAGACTTCATACCCTGATAAGAGCATCTCAAAAGAAGCTTATAAACATCTTCGGAACTCTTGGAATCGTTATCGCACAACAAAATCCTCACTTTACTTCTATCAATGAAACCTTCACCACTCTTATTCCCACCACCACCACCACCACCAATTTCTCTGTTCAAATTAAGCACCACAGGCTCCATACCCAAAATTGAAAAATGAAAAATGAAAAATGAAAATACAAATCTTCAATCACTCCCCAATTAAAAAAAAAACCCCTAGCTTCTAATACAACACCATCGAAACGCCAACGCTATAAAACTTCAATAAAAACCCTCCTCATTCCCACAACCCCCACTTGGCAAAAACCACTGATGTGCCATCAAATTTTGAAAAATCACAATCCTCCACTTGCTCGCTCCACGTTGCCCTCCAAATCCAAAACACCGCAACGTCACATACACGACAACGCTGTCAGAACAAAGGGAGGATCAAACGGCTGCGTTTTGACGGCGCACGTTAGCAGAGCTTCGATGATATTTTTTAGGACTCCGCGAGAGGGAAGGCATCGCAATTTGCAACCTCAGCTTTTTGACGTGTAAACTTGGAACTTAATCAGGAACAAATCTTTGGTGCTATTGTAGCACCAAAGATTCAGTACATCCCATAATAAAAATATTACTAAGCTAAAGTTTTATTTTTTCTGATAATTTTTTTTTCTCTCCTGTGATATGTAATGCTCTCGTTGATGATGAGATGCAATCTTGGTGCAATAGTAGTACCAAAATTTATTCCTTAATCAGATGCTGGGAGTGACTAACGTGGGGCCCGTTTGGGGGTGCGCTGTGCGCATAGGGCGTGGGGTAGGTAAAAGGGCGACGTGGAAAGCGAGTGGCATGAGAGAGGTAAAAAGTGCAATAGAAAAAGAGAGAGTGTGGAGAGAGATAGTTGGGTAGAGATAGAGAGGAGGCCACGTCGCTTGCAGATCTTCCTCATTCAAGCAAAATCAAGATGTCAACTAGCTGTACAAAAAAAAAAAAAAATGTCAACTAAAATATCCAATCACTCTGAAATCCGAATCAATTGAATAGTTCCGAATATCTATGGTTAAAAATTAGTGTAAAAACTTAAAAGAAAAAATACTCTCGTGTAAAAATGGGTTAAAATATTGCATAAAAACATAAACATAGTACAAATATAAGTTTTTGTGTTTTTACTTAAATAAAAAAATTGAATTTGAAACTTATTTTTAATTTTCCCCAAATTAAAATACACAGTATCTTTTTCTAACTATTTGAAGAAAAAAACTATCACGAAGACCGCAATTGCATAGAAAGAATAAAGAGAAGACACTAGGAGTAAGGGTGGTCATAAGGCCACGGGCCCGACCTGTCTTTTAATGGATTCAAACATGAACTTGAACTCATAGCCCATTTAACTAAAAGGCTTCAGGCTTTAATGGATAAATTTGGCCTGAAAGTTTTACAGGTCGACCCGTTATATTAATATTTTTTTATATTTTAATACTAATCAGTTAAACATCCCTCTCTCACTCTCATGGTCATCATTTTACAAAGAATGCACATGGGCGATGCACGACTTAAATACACACATTTTCCATGGGCGTTTCCCTTGCATTAGTTGGGTAAATAGTTTGCCAAAAAAATAAAGTGTTATATTTCATTTTTTGCACTACAAGGATAAAAAAGCCCCGCCATCCACATTCTAACGTGTTATTACAATGGGTGTCGTAGAAGAAGCCTTGTGGGTGTATAAAATGCTAGATTCTTTACCCATGTTATAGGCTTGTGATTCTGAGTGGGAGGTGTATAGGGACAAGGTATTGCGTGGATTATCTCCTACTATTATGACCTATGGCGTTTTAATGTGATGTTGTTGCAAACAAGGTGATTTTAGCAATGCATATAAGGTGTTCGATGAAATGGTTGAAAGGGGGATTGAACTAACGATTGTGATTTACAATATTCTTATATGTGTCTTTTGCAATGAGGGTGAAATGGAAGAAGCAGAGGTCGTGTTTAGGTTGATGAGGGAATCTAAGGTGACCCTCGATTTGTATACTTATAAGATTCACATGGATGAGTATTGCAAGATGAATGGTGTTAAACGAGTTTTCCACTTTTATCATGATATGCTACTGCAGGGATTGCACATTGATGTTGTGAGTTTTGCTACTCTGATAGATATTTTGTCCAAGGTGGGGGATTGAAGATTGCTCGAAATTGGTGTTTTTCCTAATAATATACTTAAAATTATTGGATCGATGGCTACTGTAAGGCATGGAACTTGCCTGAAGCAATGCATTTGCATGTAGCAATAGAAAGGTACAAAATCTTCCCAAATGTTTATACATACAATATACTCATAAAGGATCTATGCAACTCATGTAGATTAGAAAAAGCTAACGATTTAATGGAGAAAATGGGCAAAGTAGGGATCCTTACCATTCTGAGACATACAATGTAGTAATTAATGGATACTGTAAAACATGCAATATGGAGAAGACTATTGAGGTGTGTTCCCAAATGAATAAAAGAAAAATAGAACTCGATGTTATAACATTTTCTAAATTGATTGATGGGTTTTGCAAGAAAGGAAACATAAATGATGCAATTGGCTTGTACATAGAAATGGTAATCAAATATCTTGTGCCTAACGTGGTAACTTACACTGCTTTGATTGATGGACACTATAAGGTTGGGAACACCAAAGAGGCTTTAAGATAGCACATGGAGATGCTCGATGTAGTACTTACACCCAACATGTTTACAATTATCTATTTAATTGATGGTCTTTTGAAAAGTGGAAGGACATATGATGCAATTAAACTTTTATTGGAGAAAACTGGAGTTGATTGCCATGGAGGCAAAATGGATATAAACTAATGTTCTTGTTAAAATGGAATTTTCAGAATTTTAAATGTGTTTTGTCTTGTGCTAACAATCACAATTGTAGAATATGGATCAAAAGATCAAGTTCAACCACAGGAAACAATGAATCTAATTTCTTCTATCTATTCTATCTTAGTTTCTTGAAATTCAAAGTATTTAATTCTTCAACTAAAGATTCAATCACTACACCAAATTTAATTTTGAGCACACCAAGTAACTCAAGTATCTTTACAACAATTAACAATCAAGAATCAAGCATCATAATTCTAAATTTCATGAATTTCCCTTTTTATTTTCGCATCCCTTCATTTTACCTGATATAGATAGCACTTTCCTGCTGAAAATTAAGTTCTATAGCACTTTTCAAGAATTTTCCCAAACCCAGAATTCAAATCCAATCAACCTTGTTCCCTGGTGTTAAACCAGATTCGTGTAAGTCAAATTCTCAACTTTTACTCCAAAATATCCCTAATCGTAAAGCAATCAATTAACAAAATTCATAAATCTCAATTTCCCAATCAAAGATCCATGAACAAAAGGTTTAAGAACCATTCTCATAGCCCTCAAACAAAAAGAATTTTGCTAATTTAAAAACAATAACATTTATAACAGTTATTCTAATTAATGGATACTCCTCAATCCATTCATAATTCCAGAAAAGAAAATTAGTTATTCATGTTAACAGAAAATGAAACCAAGAAATTCATTAAGAAAAAGGACATGTTCCTTGCTTACCAAAGTCTAAGTGTAGAAAACAATAAAGGGAAGTTAAGATACAGACCAAATTGTTGAATTACAGAGCATAAGAACAAGAAGTCTATCAGAAATACAATCGAAACTTGAAATGGACTTTATCTTGGCTTCCTCCGAGAACTCATTTTTGCATGTGTTGATTACAAAGTCAGTATTTTGGAACGACAAAGGATCTTTGGGAAGACCTGAAAGAGCGATATTCAGTTGCGAATATACCATGACTAAATCAACTCTGCACCAATCTTGCTAATATCAGACAAGATGGAATCAATGTTAGCACCTATTACACACGTCTGAGGGCTATCTGGGATAAGATAGATGCAAGCAAAAACCAACCTTCTTGTACGTGTAGAGCCAAATGTGCCATGTCAATTTATAATAGTGATGAAGCTGAAAAGGAAAAGGTTTACCAATTCCTTATGGGGTTGCATGATAATCAATTTGGTGCGTTGAGGACTCAGATTCTCAACTACCCAACCTTTCCTAATTTAAATCAATCCTATGCAGCTGTGGTTTAGGAGGAGACGCATCGGGATATGTCAAGAAAAAAGGATGCGAGAGCTAAGGTGGTTAGCTATGTTGTTCAGACTAATATAACTTCTCGGGAAAGAAACAATCGGAGGATGGTACCACAAGAACAAGCAGATCGTGAATGAATCCCATGTCTTCATTGTGGGAAGACTAATCATGATCCTTCTAGATGTTGGACAATCAATGGATATCCTTCTAACAGAGGAGGCAGTCGTGGAAGGGGAATGGGTCGTTCATCAGGGGGTCGTTCCAACTACAAACAGGCTCGAGTTGTGCAAACAAATGGCCAGACGCAACGGGTCCGCGCTGTTCAAACCGTGGGAGAACCTCAGCAAACTGGTGCTTATACTATGCTTACAACTGATCTTGTTACAAAGTTGGTTGCTTTAGTCAATCCACCTCAATCAAATGACAAACTTTAGGGTAAGTCTGTTAATTTCCAATGGCTTGTAGATAGTGGAGCTTCATAACACATGACAGGTTCGAAAGATTTGATGCAAGACATGAGGGCTATATCACCTTTTCCTATGAGTTTTCCCAATGGTACCATGGTTCTAGCAGAGCAACGTGAGAATGTGGTTCTTGATTCATCTTTTATTTTGCATGATGTTTTATATGTGCCACAGTTGCGGTGCAATTTGATTTTTGTGTCCCAATTATTGAAAGAAACAAACAACAATGTAATCTTTTCTGACAAGGGTTGTGTATTACAGGACCATATGTTGAGCCAGACGATTGAACTAGGTGACAACCGAGCAGGGGTCTATATGTTTCACTCTATGCAACCATCTATTGCTGCTGTTCGCACTAGGGAAACTACAGAAGTATGATTAGGACATGCATCATATGAAGTTGTTTCTCTGCTTCCTTTTTCTAGTAGTTCGAATAAAGAAAATCAAAATAAGGCATGTGATATTTGTTATCAAACCAAACAAGTTCGTAGTATGTTTCCTTTGAGTTTTAGTAACATTAAAGCATGTTTTGATCTTATTCACTGTGACACATGGGGTCCTTATAAAACTTCAACTTATTTTGGCGCTCATTATTTTTTGACAATTGTCGATCGATTACAGTAGATGTATTTGGGTATACATGCTTGTAGATAAAAGTGAAACCTTTTCCAGGTTGCGAAAATTTATTTTCATGATTAAGACTCAATTTTAAAAAATAATGAAGGTGATTCGGCCTGATAATGGCACAGAGTTTAAAAATAATAATTTAACCAAGTTGTACACATATATGGGCATTTAAAGTCAAACATAATGTGTTCATACATGAGAACAGAATGGAAGGGTGGAACGAAAACATAGACACATACTTAATGTGT